AAAGAGAGTTCCAGGATAGTCAGGACTGTCACATAGAGAAACCCTGTCTAGAAAAGCAAACAAAAAAAGAGCTCTTCACTATTGCAAGTTGTTACTAATTGTCTATTTCACTTAGTCTACAATGTTAAAATTAAATTTCATCAGAGCTATATTTGTATAGGAAGAAAACATTACATCTGTATGCTTCAGTATGAGACTTTTAGATAATTTTGAAAATCTTGAAATGTAGCCCATGTGGATAAAGGGAAAGACAATGTATACCCAGCTTAACATAAAAATTTTAAATTTATTTTTCCATGATTCTTGCAAAATAATAATAGCACTATGGCTATTCTTTTTGTGGAAAACTTTGGTAGTAGTGGTGGAACCCAGGGTTCCATTCCATGCTAGTCAAATGCCCTACCAGTGAGCTATGCTCCCAGCACCTATCACTGTTCTTAAACATGAAAATCTCCCAAAGGTGGAACTAAGAAAGGCAAAACACAAAGAAATATTTATTTATTCTTTTAATACACACTTCAAGTATCTGTTTTCAAAAGTTATTATCTAGAAACCAAACATATATTCAAATCCAATGCCAACGGGAAAGGCATTAATAGCATTGGGAGGTCCAGGCATATTTGTGAGCTGGTGGTTCCTGAAGGAAAGATACTGGGATGAGAGATGGAAGATGTGCCTGAGCAGAACCAGAAGCTGGGAGAGCAATGTGGGAAGGGGGATTTTGTGTGAAGGATCAGACCTATCACCCAGAAGGCTGTCAAGTTCTGTGAGGTTCAGAACAGAGGGAAAGAAAGGAGGAGGTATTGATGAACTGTTAGTAAGAAAGCCAAGGAGAACCATCAAGCAATGTTGAAATAGGGCTTTCCTAAGGGATTTGGTTGAAAGAGAGGTTGAGATGGGCATTAGAAGGAGACATGAACAAGAAATAACATGAAGAGATCAATATGTAGGATGTAAACTAAACTGAAGAAGCAAGGACTATCAGGCAGGACTCTTTCCTACTGAGAGAGCCTTATGTCCAATTAGACAACCATTGGTTACTCCCAAAATAAAAATGCCACTATTATACTATTCAAGATGTCTTGCAAGGCTGACCACTGCTGTGGTTGGGAGGTTTACAGCTGGGTAGGTTATCAATCATTTTTCCTTCCTTGGCACAATGCATACTACGTTCTGATACTATGAACATTAGTTCTCAGGGAAGAGGCTTGCAGATCACTTCCAGCTAGCTAACTAACAATGGCTGGACAAGTTGTAGAAACTAAATAGAACTTGCTAGTGCAATTGTCCTAAACCAATACAATTCTGTTTTCTAATACTCAGACCCACAAATAAGTGTCACTCTTACCCCTTCTCAAAGAGGCTCCTTTTGAAACAGTTGCAGACTATACAGAGACTCACAACTGGCAAATGCAGAGAATAAATGACCATTGGATGTCCACATCCAATTGATACATTTATAGTACAGCCCCCATACCCAAGGCTTAAGGAAAATTATGGAAGAAGAAAGAGACTGAAGAAGTCTGAGGGACTGGAATGTCCACTATGAGCTAATATGTTCTAAACATGGCAGAGAAGCCACACCCATGAAATATCTCCATATAACTACTTAAATAAGACCTGTATAATGAGAAAACCAATTGAGAAGTACCCTAGATGAAAAGCTATAAGCAATCAGTGGACGGATGGAGAGAGAGAGAGAGAGAGAGAGAGAGAGAGAGAGAGAGAGAGAGAGAGAGAGAGAGAGAGAATGAGTTTTCACCAGGAAAAGCCCCTGATGAATTTTCAATCCCAAGTGGTCTACCTAAAGACATTTACATATAAGCAACACTAAAGTGATTCAATAGGATATATATATATATATATTTAAAGATGAGGTAGCCAGGCGTTGGTGGCACACGCCTTTAATCCTAGCACTCGGGAGGCAGAGGCAGGCGGATCTCTGTAAGTTCGAGACCAGCCTGGACTACCAAGCGAGTTCCAGGACAGCCTCCAAAGCCACAGAGAAACCCTGTCTCGAAAAAAAACAAAAAAACAAAACAAAAAAAAAAAGATGAGGTCAAGGGCTGGGTGTTGGTGGCACACGCCTTTAATCCCAGCACTCGGGAGGCAGAGGCAGGCAGATCTCTGTGAGTTCGAGGCCAGGCTGGACCGACAAGCCTCCAAAACAATACAGAGAAACCCTGTCTCGAAAAACCAAACCAAAACAAACAAACAAAAAAAGATGAGGTCATGAATCAGAGAAGAAGTAGGGGGACATGGAAAGATTGGATGGAGAGGGGAAAGGATAGAAATGATGTATATACAGTACTCACACAATTCTCCAAAATAGTTTTAATAAGAAGTGAGTGAACAAGTAAAAAGAAAACACATGGAAAACAATGTACAAGGAGAAGAGGCAAGACATAGAAAAAGCTGGTAGATAGACAGGCCAGAGCTAGGCCATCACATACACACACACACACACACACACACACACACACACACACACACACACACACAGTGGCTGACAGTCAAATCAAACAAACTCATGATAGAGACCCTGGAGATCCTCACGTGTGGACTTTGGGCAGTCAAAGAGTCTTCCACAGGTATTGTTTTATTTTAACAGGAACTCACTGGGTTTATACTACACAGTGGCAGAATAGCAAAGCTCAAGACTCCAGGGCCTCAACTAGAGTGTCAACTGTCTCCTGCCCAGAAAGGAAGACACCTTGTCAAGATAGCATGTATTAGATACATGTCACCAAAATACCTGAAAGAAACAGCTTGAGTTTAAAAAGATGAATTTTGTATGGTTGCAGAGAATCTAGTCTGTGGCTGCTTGACCCATGTGTTTGGACTGGACACGTGGCAGCACATGGTAAGTGCAGTGGCATACTGGAAGCCGGGGCAGGAGCGAAGGGAGAGAGAACAAGAAGGGTTCAGGATCTATACCACCAAGGACCAGACTCAAGGGATCTATGTCTTCCACCTGCAGTCTACCTCCTAAGGTTTCCAGACTCTTCCACCATCACCACAAACTGAGGAGCCACCCTCTAATATTCATTATGGGGGGGGGACCATTCTTTTTTATTTAAATTAGGAACGATCTTATTTTACATATCAATCCCAGTTCCCTCTCCCTTCCATCCTCCCATGCCATCCCTCTTCTGCTCCATACAAAGGGTGAGGCCTTCCATGAGGGATCATCAAAGTCTGTCATATCATTTGGAGCAGGGCATAGGCCCTTCCCCGTGTGTCTAGGCTAAGCAAGTATCCCTCTATGGAGAATGTGCTCTCCAAGTCCATTTGTACACTAGGGTTAAATACTTTTCCACTATCAGAGGCCCCATAGACTGCCCAGGCCTCCTAACTGACGCCCATGTTCAGGGGGCCTGGTTCTGTCCTATGCTGGTCTTCCAGCTATCAGTCTGGGGTCCATGAGCTCCCCCTTGGTCAGGTCAGCTGTTTCTGTGGGTTTCCCCAGCGTGGTCTTGACCCCTTTGGTCATCACTCCTCCCACTCTACAAATGGGCAGGTATTCTTTGTGATTAAGATTTATTTAGACATGCATAGTTGGGTTAGGGAGGCTTAAATGAACGTGAGATGGAAAAGAAGCAGTTTCCAGTGCCCCAGGTTTATACTCAACAGGGCGACATTCATCCCCAAATCCTTATTTTTAATGGGAGCCACTGTAAGTGACAGTGCTGAGCAGAGGCCAAGCTTGCCTTGGATGGAGCTGTGTGGGTCGCTCAGCTCTTTTGTGCTTTAGTGGTTTGGCTTGGCTTGGCCTTTTGTAATTTGGCAGCTCAGGAAGAAAAAAATGGGGGACTCAGCAGATTTTTCCTTTTTTTTTTCTTCATATATTCCTCTAATGTGAGTGTTTCTGGGACAAGGTTTCTTGGTGTCCTAATTAATTGTTCTTGATGTTACTTTCAAAGCATCCTCTTGCATTTATGACTCTGCCCACGGCTGTTGCTTTTATTTATACATGATGGTAATTACCTGCAACGCAGAAAAGGCCCTGTGTGTCTCTGTGGCCAGGTAAACGTGGCTGAATTCAGTGGCAACTTTGGAGGGAGGCAGCCTTAAGAAATGTCAACTGGCAAACAAAGGAAGCAGAAAACTAGCTGGCAGGGCTGCCAGGCTCTGCCTGCTGCTCACTCCCATGCCTGAGGTCAGCCTTGAAAATCCTTTGTTACTTCCCAATACATTTTCAACTGCATTTGAAGTAATTAACGCAGGGAATAGGATTCTCTTGTCACATTTAATTATCAGATAGCTGCTTTCCTTGGGGATATCTGACAGTTGCCCAAAGTGTTGGTCTTAATCTAAAACCACAGAGAGACCTCTGACACAGTGAAAGCTGCCAGCGTGGCATTTATTAAATATAAATGGCTACATGTCTAAAGAGGAGGTGGATAAAAACAGAGCTGGGTCTCTTGGGAAGAAGACCCTCTGTGCAAAGGGAAGCCTCATCCGTACTCAGCTGAGGCAGCTTCCGGGTCACGTGCACACAGGAAGTGTTAGCAACCTGTGTGTGCACACGCCTTAGAGCACTGAATCTTCATGGAGAGGGTAAGGACCCTAAGTTCGAGGACACCCATCAACCAAAAGGTAAATTCCAGAGCTTCTCTCAGTCTGTTAACTGGAAAGCAACTCGTGGAAGGAAAACACTAAGAGGCAATGATTTGAAATGCAGAAGCTCATTTCCTTGCATCTTAGGAACCTTCAGTGAATCAACTAAATATATGCACCGAGGGAAAAAAAAATATGCTACCCTCTGGGTAGTATCTTGTAATAAGCTGGGAGTGTGAAAGCCATTAACAGTATTAGGTATTACTGTTAGGTGGCTAATGAATTGTGCCCATTATTGGAGCTCGTCTATGGTAACGATTCTTTAAAAGCTACAAAGTGCTTGTATCGCTCTGTCATAGAGAAAGACGCTACTGAAAACATCAGGAATTACCTCCAGGAGTAACTATGGTTAAAGGAGTAAGATGAGATCCGGTACTTACTATGTGAGGACGATGGCCACTGCATCGTTCAGTACACTCTCCCCAAACAGCAGTGTGTACAGGTCGGGGTCCACATGTAGTTCATGGAAAATGGCCAACACCGTCACTAGGAAGACACACATAAAGACGGCAAGTTAGGTAGGACATGGCTGTGATATTTGCCTTCATGTGGTCATGTTTAAAAATCATTCACTAAGTACTGATTTTTTCAAATTCACCCTCCATACCAAGAAGAGATCTTCACTCAAAACAATAGATGATGTCATAGCTCTGCTCCCAGTTCATAAGTCCTATCAGTACCACACTTCCCTTCCAGGGATGCCTCTCTTTGCACACTTGGCCCACCCTTGGCTGTTGCCCTCCAGTTACGTTGAACTTGCTGCAGCTTTCCAAATACACTGACTTTTTAAAACTTTTTTTAAAATTTGACTCCTCCTAAAAGGGTGTAAATGTCTTTGGCATTGACTTCCACCATTCCCACAATTCACATATACACTGACACACACAAATGGGAAGGGAGGACACACTCTCATGGGGGGATGGGTTGTGCACATATAGTTTTGCTTCCAAAGATCCTTTTATTCATTCTTCAAGAGCCTTGAAAGGGACTCCATCTCAGTCCCTGATTTCCTCAGCATTGGGTCGGCTCATTCTTTTATGATCCTAGCATTCGGATCAAATCACAGACACATAGAAGGGACTGAGCTCCCTGGGAATAGGGTGCAATCTGCAGCCCTGGTATTTATGTGACTAGCATGCAATGATTATTTGGTGCATGCGTGAAGGAATGGACAAATGAATATCATTGCAGGGGCCTGCTACTGTGTAGGAAGAGGCAACCAGATCCTGGCTCTCATTTGCTCCTAGGAGCTCATTCAGTCATAAAAACAGACTCTGTTATCCAGAGCAGGACTTGCCCAGCTACTACCTGCTGTTTAGTTCTGAGCCTTTGTAAATTGATCAGGGCAGTAGACACCACTCAAGTCTTGATATTTAAAACAGTTATGCAAAGTGTGAGCAGCACTCATTATGAAAACTATCCACTGAGTTGATTGCCAAGAGGGAAAAAGAGTGGTACAAAATGATACTGACAGTAAAAATTTTAAGGCAGAATGCGTATTTTTACTTCTGTTCTTTCCTCTCCTATTTCGTCAAGTGTGAGGCCAATATGTATTTGATAAACAGAGTGCTGGGGTGTGGGTGATGTGGGAGGAGAAGCGAGTTAAGTGTGAAGGTTTTGCAAGTAATCAAGAAATTTGCAAGTTGCCTTGTCTCCCACAGTAGAAAACAACTGAAGGTCTTTAGTAAGAGAGTTGACACATTCTGGTTTGAACTTGGACATAAAGCTCAGAAATCAGTGCAGAGGCAGAATAGAGAGGTAGATCCAGGAATCCCTAGCAATTCCAGTAAAAGATGGGTTGGTCCAAGACAGAGAGAGGTGTGGAATCAGGCTCCACGCCCTTACACACACACACACACACACACACATACACACACACACACACACACACACACACACACACACACACACACACACACACACACACACTACTGGTCCCGCACATCTATCGTTGCAGGTACAGCCAGGCCCATGACCAAAGTCCTAATACAAACCTTTTTTTATTGGTTTTCATATCCTTACCTCACCACGCTCTGAGGCAGTGTAGCATGCTGTTAGCAAGCAGATAAACAAGAAAGGGTGTTGTAAGGACAAGGTAGAAGGAGCAGCTTGTTTAAAATAATGTATTACCTACTTGAAAATTGCTAGAGGGTAGATTTTAAATGTTTTTACTACAAAACCCAAAAGGATTGATCAGCATGTGAAGTGATGCCCACGCTAATTGACGCGATTGGCCTTCCTACTGTTTGTGGGCATCAAATACACCACACACTATAAACACCTTATGAGTTTTATTTGTTGAGTAAAACATTTTATCTTTTCTTTAATGCTTTAAAAAAATAAGCTACTATAAGAATGTAACAACAAAACAAATGAAGAAAGAGAGACAGGGGTCATGAATTAGAATGACGGCATGCCCTGATTCCTTTTTAAAAACCAAGGATTGAATCAATTTCATGTTTCAAGCTGAGAGGGTCACATTAATCACACCAGGCAAATGGCAGAGATCTCCTCTCAGCTCCTGGGGAGCTTCGAACATTTGCTATAACCTGAAGCCTCTGCAGGTGGAGATGGGAGGGGCAGCGTGTGTCTCTCTCACATGATTGTTTTCTCCATCTTAGGTTGAGCCAAGAGCATGCATCTAACCAAAGCAATGAGGTTTCACCTGAGGTTTTCGTTAACATCATTCTCTTTTTGCTGGGATCTTGTGGAATAAAATACAAGTTGCTCTTCAGCAGAAAATTCTGTTGCAGCAGCTCAAGTGCCAACTTCAGCTTCTGGCTGTATTTGTTCCTAAGCTCTGATGATAGCTTGTGACCCATCTCTACTCTTGGGGGGGGTGATGATTTCCAAAGTTCATGTGTGGCATAACATTTGGTTTCCTATCCCCAAATTCCTGCTCATTGGTACTCATTTTGTTCTATGAGATGGAGTCGACACTTTTCCAAAGAGAGCACAAGGCTATTTTGAGGAAAGCCTTTAAACTATATATCCAGTTATGTTCAAAACTGATCTGGCATTCACACGATTCCTCCTGAACAAAGAACTGGGCTCCGCTTCATAAACAATATCCCACACAAAAGGGAAAGCTATTACTTGGCGCATTCCTATCTACCCTGTGAAGAAACGCAACAGCTTCAGAATAAAGCCAGCCAGTGTGTCCCAGAGGAAAGAGGGGGGAGTATTTTGTCAGGACAGCAAATGAGTTGAATAGGTGAGTCAGGAAATTAGCCACCCACTCTGCTAGTGAGCTGGGAACTTTGAAAAGAACTCATTTAGTTAGTTCACAGACAGTGCTCATTTTTGCAGTGTTCTACATGGTCAGCAGTGCCGTCCCACTATAGACTTTCTTGAAACAGTCAAGTGCAACTCACAGCAGCTCTTCTCAGATTTTGCTGGGTTGAGGAAACTAGTCCTAACCCAAGGCTAGGCTGAAAACCAGAACGTATTTAAGGTTAGTCTTTTGTGACCTCATGAGAAGAGTCTAGATGTAAAATTGTATAGGGAGGAGAGAGGACACAATGAATTTTCTGAATTTACAGTCTTATTAAGATTTGGTCATTTTTGCCTGCATCACACTGTTAGTCCACTTGCTTCCCCACGGCAGCTTCATTCTTTTTCTTATACCTTCTAAGACCAGAATTTAAGTTTATGCATATGAGTGTTTTGCCTGCAAGTATATGTGTGTACCACATGAGTGCCTGGTCCCTATGGGGTTAGAACAGAGTGTCAGATACCCTGGGACAAGAGTTATAGATGGTTGTGAGCCACTGTGCAGGTGCTGGGAATGGAACCCATGTCTTCTGCAAGAGCAACAAGTGATCTTAACTGCCGAGCCATCTCTGCTGTCCTAAGACATGATTTTTAGCTACAGAAAACTAAGCCTTGCCTCTCACCGTGTAAGAAGGGATATAAGCTCCTATGACTTATGCTAAAGGTACAGACTTTTATCTAGGGCACTGGGAGGGTGTGGCAACTGAGCAACTGACAGATGCCACTAAGCATGGGACAGTTTTGAGAAAATAGTTTGAGCAGCCAAACAGCAGAGGTCTGCTTTGGCATGAGTGTGAAGAAATAGCATGGCTATTTTTCTGAGAACTCAGTGAGGTGGGATAGAGACCCAAGGTCACAACTTTAAGGTGCAAAGCTGAGCAGGTTTTTTTCTAGATGTCCAGTGTTGTAAGTTAAGTAGAATAAGCCATAGGATAGAGAGGTTGAAGACAGAGAATAAAATAGAAGAAACTACTAGGGCACAGTCTGAAGAAGGCAGAGGACAATGGATGGCAGCAGGGAAGTTAGGTTCCTTAGTAACATAAGATCATCTGCTGAGATCTGGGTACCAGTGCATGAGTCAGGCCCCTGGAGACTGGAAATGCTTGAAATATCTCCAGAGGGATGAACTCATGACAAACTATTAGAATCAAGTGTAAACCAATTTTCAATCTCTAAGAGAAATCCAAACACTGAAATAGTATATTTTTTATTAATCTCACCATACTGAAACTCTAGTCTCATCTCAACCAGAAAGATGGTAAGAAAACATTCTTAGAGTAAAAAATACAGATAATGACTATTTAAGCCCATCAGCATGCCAATGTATTGGCTGCTAAGTGATGCTTTGTGTATTTTTAACTGCCTGTCTGTAAATGATCACTTTCTGGAAGCTCTCTCAGTAACTCTGAAGTCTTTGGAGTGATTTAGTGACAGTCCGTGTCTTAGAACCTTTGTTAGCAGCTATCTGGCCCATATTTTCTTGATGTTTTACAAGGAATTTAAATTTCAAATGGTATTTCAATTGCCAGCACTCAGCAACCTCGCACAAGATCTGCCTAGGTCGATAGACAACAAGACACAATAGTTTCCTCCCTTGTCATTCCAAGTCATCATTCAGCCTTGTCAAAGGCTGGCTCTCCTTGTAGTACTTGCTATTGCTTTCTGTGCAAATCAGTGTGTATGACACTTGTCCATGACACGTGGAGAATCAGAAGTGTCTAAGGCTTCTGCAGCTGAATCTGTTTGTCCTGACAGTGTTATTCATTTATATATATAAATCAGGGGGCATTCTTCTCTTTTTAAAACTCAATACTGTGAACTTTTTATTTTCCAGACATGGTGTTTATAGGGGAGTTTTTTAAACAGTTGTAGCTCTGTGGGAACAGTCTAGAATATTGGAATTAGTTTTAGTCTGGACCCTCCCTCTCCACGCACTTGACTATACAATCAATTCGTGGATGGGTTTTGCCAGTGGGGCTCTGCCAGTCATAATAACAGAAATATAACAGAAACCCTACCCTTTTGAACTAGGTCAAAGAATGAGGCCAACTTTGGAAAGCATATCATTAGATGCTACTTTGTTGAGGTTATTCTAAATTGTACATTCCACAAAGCACCACAAATTACTTAGCCCTAATACATGGCAATTTTATTTGGCCTTCATGGTGATATATGTTTTAGGTACTGAGTAAGTGGTGAAAAAGATGTTACAT